TGAACCAAGGGGCGCGGGGTTTCATCAAGAAGAAACAAACAGAACTTTCACACCGTAGCCTGGCCAGTCTGAAACTGGTTTTCAAAGCTTCTCTGATGCATACCGCGCCCTCCTGTGCTCTTCTAACCGCCCTGGTGTCTGGCTGCGCGTAACCAGCAGCCAGGCAATTTGCCTCAACCTCCCACCCTGCCATAAACGTCTCCCCCTTACTCTCACAGATATTGTGGAGCGCACAGCAAGCAGTAATAACAGTGGGAATATTGGTTTCGCTTTAAACATCCAAATGCACATTCTACCACCATTCTGCACATGCTCAGCCTGTAGTTGAACAGCTCCTGACTACTGTCCAGGCTGCCTGTGTACGGCTTCATGAGCCATGGCATTAAGGGGTAGGCTGGGTCCCCAAGGATAACTATAGGCATTTCAACATCCCTAACCGTTATTTTCTGATCTGGGAATAAAGTCCCTTCCTGCCCCTTTTGAAACAGACCAGAGTTCCTGAAGATGCGAGCATCATGTACCTTTCCTGGCCATCCCACGTTGATGTTGGTGAAATGTCCCTTGTGATCCACCAGAGCTTGCAGCACTATTGAAAAGTACCCCTTGCGGTTTATGTACTCGCCGGCTTGGTGCTCCGGTGCCAAGATAGGGATATGGGTTCCGTCTATGGCCCCACCACCGTTAGGGAATCCCACTGCAGCAAAGTCTTCCACTATGACCTGCACATTTCCCAGGGTCACTACCCTTGATATCAGCAGATCTTTGATTGCGTGGGCTACTTGGATCACAGCAGCCCCCACAGTAGATTTGCCCACTCCAAATTGATTCCCAACTGACCGGTAGCTGTCTGGCGTTGCAAGCTTCCACAGGGCTATCGCAACTCGCTTCTCAACTGTGAGGGCTGCTCTCATCTTGGTATTCATGCACTTCAGGGCAGGGGAGAGCAAGTCACAAAGTTCCATGAAAGTGCCCTTACACATGCGAAAGTTTCGCAGCCACTGGGAATCGTCCCAGACCTGCAACACTATGCGGTCCCACCAGTCTGTGCTTGTTTCCGAGCCCAGAATCGGCATTCCACAGCATGAACCTGCCCCATTAGCACCATGATGCATGCATTGGCAGGGCCCATGCTTTCAGAGAAATCTGTGTCCATGTCCTGGTCACTCACGTGACCACGCTGATGTTACCTCCTCGCCCGGCATCACTCTGCCAGGTTCTGGTGCTGCATATACTGCTGGATAATGCGTCTGGTGTTTAATGTGCTCCTAATTGCCAAAGTGAGCTGAGCGGCCTCCATGCTTGCCTTGGTATGGCGTCCGCACAGAAAAAAGGCACGGAACGATTGTCTGCCATTGCTCTGACGGAGGGAGGGGTGACTGACGTCATGGCTTACAGGGTTGGCTTACAGGGAGCTAAAATCAACAAAGGGGGTGGCTTTACATCAATGAGTGTTTCAGGCAGGACTTCACGGAGGGTTCCAATAAGAAATGGTGCACCTAAGTAATTGTTCTTATTGGAACAAGCAGGTTGGTCTGGCCTCTGATTAATACATGGCTAGATTTATTTTGCTGCACCTTCTCTGTGAGTGACTGCAGTGTGACCTAGAGGAATGAGTCCCCTAGATGGGGTACGGGGGGAAGCAAATGAGTACAAAACAAATCTGGTCTATTTCTTGTTTTGATCCACTCCATCTATCTTTTACATCTTTGGCTGGCAGCAGATGGTGCAGAAGGACTGGAAGCCATCCTCATCTCTTGCCTGCCTGGCAGAAGATGGTGCAGTAGGACTGCTAGCCATCCTCATCTCTTGCCTGCCTGGCAGAAGATGGTACAGTGGGACTGCTAGCAATCCATATCGCCTGCCTGCTCACCATAAGATGGTTCAATAGGACTGACTGCAGGACTAAAGAGAATGACCTGGTCAAGTCGCTTCTAATGTAGTCCCTGCACTCACGTCTGCCCAGGCGCTCCTGGCCGATGTGGCCAGGAGCACCTCGGACATGACAATGACGGCTACCAGTCCTACTGCACCGTCTGCTGCCACAAGGCAAGGGGTTGCTGCTGCTGTGTAGCAATGCAGTACCACGTCTGCCAGCACCCAGGAGACATACGGTGACGGTTACCTGAGCAGGCTCCATGCTTGCCGTGGTATGGCGTCTGCACAGGTAACTCGAAAAAAGGCACGAAACGATTGTCTGCTGCTGCTTTCACGGAGGGAGGAAGGGAACGGGGGCCTGAGGATATGTACCCAGAACCACCCGTGACAATGTTTTAGCCCCATCAGGCATTGGGATCTCAACCCAGAATTCCAATGGGCAGTGGAGACTGCGGGAACTGTGGGATAGCTACCCACAGTGCAACACTCCGGAAGTCGACGCTTGCCTCAATATTGTGGAAGCACTCCGCCGAGTTAATGCACTTAATGCACTTAGAGCATTTTCTGTGGGGACACACACACTCGAATATATAAAAACGATTTCTAAAAAACCGACTTTTATAAATTCGACCTAATTTCGTAGTGTAGACATACCCTTACTCTGACTACACTGAGGCTTTGATCCTGAAAGTCCTCTCTCAGAGCCTGATCCCACATCTATTGAATCAAGCCCTCTGTGCATTGCAGTGAACACAAGGTGCGGGCTACACATGGGCACAAATAAGGTTAAACAATAGTATGGTGAGCAAAAGTCAATCTGAAGCCCCTGCATGTCCTCGACTTAGTTTTCTGAGTGTAAGGTAAAACAGAGGTGGGGTGCAGGGAGAGAATGGATGTGTTTTAGGACATTGGTTTTCAAACTGTGGGGCATGTCCCCTTGTGGTGGTGGTTGGGTGGGGGTGCAATGAGGATACTGGGAGGCATGTGATGGGATGTGGGTCTGTGACTGGCTGGGTGTCTGGGCCAGAGCAGGGCAGTAGCAGGGAGAACTCATAGGGAGTCCCCAGCAGATGACGGGGAGCACAGCCACACCCTGTCCTGGCAGCAGCCTGCTCCTCTTCCCCTCCTCCCAACTTGACCATTGGGGACTTCTTGCTTGCTCTCCCTGCTACTGCCCTGCCCTGGCCCAGATACCTGGCTGGCTGCAGTCCTTGTGTATTTACTCTCTGGAGCCTGTGGGTGTGAGAGGCTCTGGGAATAGGGGAGGGAGGGCAAGGAATCCCGTTGCACTCCACGCTGCCATAGGTTCCTCTGGGGATGGAGTCAACCAGATCATGCCGCTACCCCAGATGTGAGCCGCCTGTTCTCCATGAGTCACTTTCTGTCCTGGATGGGTCCGAGTCGGGGAAGGAGGGAGGGTCCGTGGAGAAAGGGGGGCACAGCAAAAAAGTTTGGGAATGTCTATTTTAATAGAAATGAGTTTAAGCACCATTCTCAATATGCCAGTGAGGCACTTAGCTATATGCACTACTCTAACCTCTCTTCAGCTGCAAGACAGGTGCAATTTTGCATCTACATAATAGCTCTCGCTGTACAAGGTTAGGTGTCCCTGTGCTATCCTACTTCCCACATTTTACTTTTGTTTATGCACATGATCCGGTGGGTAGTATGAGTGACCACCCGTCCCTAATTGGGCAGGAGAGTCCTGAAATGTGCATTTCAAGTCCCGGTCCCAGGCTGAATGACACTGGGTCAGCATTTGTTCCGGATTCCCTGTGATGCTGCTATGCACCTGCCCAAGGCTTAGTGGTGGTGCCAGTCTCTTCCTGGTGTGTGTGTGTGTGTATGTGTGTGGGGGGGGCTGAGGCCCTCCCTCGCCACAAGGACTCACCCCCTGATCCTTCTCTTTCCTCCGAGGCCCGGAGCTGGGCCGTGCTAAGAGCCACCCGGGGAGCCTGGGCCGTTGTGGGGAGCCCCGGACCCTCCACCTGCCCTTGGGGTTGGGGCTGCTTTGGGGCTCTTATCACTGCATAGCTTTGGCTCCTGGCCTGGTCAGGGCACGGTTTCGGGGGAAGGGTAGGAGCAGGAGGCAGGGCCACAGAGGGAGTGGGGCTCCTGCCTACGTCCTGTTTTTGCATTTTGAAAAGGTGGTCAGTAGGGTACTGCACTGGGACTCAGGAGACGTGGGTTGTATTTGTGACTCTACCACTGATCTTATGTGTGACCTTGGGCAAGTCACTTCACTTCTCTAGGCCTCTCTTTCCCTTCCTACCTTTTGTCTGACCTGTCTGTTTAGACTGCCAGCTCTTTGGAGCAGGAGACTGACTTAGTATGCATTTGTAAAGTGCCTAGCACAATAAGACGCAATCTCAGTTGGAGCCTTTAAATTCTGCAGTAATAAAAATAATTTCGTACATACACATTAAAATATTTTTTTCTTAAATGACATGGTGCAATCACTAGTGTTGTTAGCCCATGGGAATGGGAACCTGGAACACCTGATTTCTAATCCCAGCTATGTCACTAGTTTACTGTGGTTTTGGGCAGATAATTTAATCTCTCTGTTTTATTTTCCCGAGCCATAAAATGGGTAAAAATGGCTGTGAATTTTTTACTTCATTTAAATTCACAATGCATCTCAGTTTCTTCAATAATGGAGACAGGGTGTACAAGTCTGTGGTACTGTTGAGTAAGTCAAGGAGAGCTGGCTGTTTCTGTACTGCATGAGTTAGAGAGTTTGGTGGGTTTGGAGGCTGATTAAAGTGTGTCATAGAGAAGTGTCTCAAATCAGGGAGCTGTTTTCCTGGGAGATCCTTTGATGCTTCAGACTGGTAGAGAAACTGCTGTTTATTGGGACAGGTCCAGATATCTCAAATTTTTGTGTGAACTTACGGATGGACTGAATGGAATGAACCGAACCTCCAGCACTGTGGCTTACTCCTCCGTCCGCACTTAATCTTTTTGTTTTTCCAGAAATGTGAGGAGAGCAGGATGCTATCAGCCTTTCCATAAGAATTTCTACTATACCATCTGGGTAGTGCTCGCTCATCTCATTTGTATCTTGTTAAGCATTGTTACGTCTATCACTATTGTTTAGAGATTCCTTTTCTTGTTTTCATTTTTAGCTGTACCTCTTTGATGCCTGGACCCAGCTGTGATCGGTTTAAGTTGCATATACCATATGCAGGAGAAACACTCAAATGTAAGTTAAAGCCCTTTATATCACCCATTCTCGACTTCTCTCACCCCGTTCTATGTCAGTCACAATGCTCTGTGCTAACAACTTAATATTTCCCAGTGTTTCAAACTTTGCCATTTTATCGTGAGTCTTGTGATATTTGGTGTCATCTTAAAGCTCCAACTTCTGGAGTAATGTGACTATGTGAAAATCTTAGCTTTTGGTTTTTTTAAGAAATAAGTTTCTAGTTTTTATAGATGCAGAGAAAAGGTTGAAAACATAAAAAGATAACCAAAATTTATTATTTTGTAAAAGGTGATTAAGACTGTTATAATTTTTGGAGGCCAGACTCATGCTCTTGGAATGCTTTGGGCTGACAATACTGATTTCCTCTTTGGTAGTGAGGATTTTCTTACTGGTACAGTATTTGTGATATTGTATAGAGACACAAATAACTGGCACAGATTGTCATGCTGGGTGAAGCAGTGGAATTTGTTTTTAGTCATTAATACTTTCAGAGATCATTTGGCTATCAAATCTTCCTTTCTAAAAGCCATTTCTAGTGATAAATGTTGGTTTGTTTGACCCTCCCATTGTTGAATGAGTATTTGGTTGTAAAAATTAGATAAGAGAATATTTCCTTTCATGTTTTTAGAAGACAGGAAAGAATTTTCTCATCTTCTCTGTTGCCATTCAGCTGCAGGTGAAGAATGGTAGAAGTTGTGAGGAGGGATAACTTTAAAGCAATACTAAAGTGACTGATCTATCTTGGCTATCAAATGCATATTAAAAACTTGCTTTATTGTTTCATGGCCGTGATTTTGCTTCCATCAATGTATCTGACTTGTGAAGATCACACTTTCATGGAATTTCATGTAGTGTTCATTCAGATGTAATGATCAAAAAGTGTCCATGTTTGTCTGTCTCTCAAATCAATTCTTACAGCCTGTCACAGGGTGCCTTGCCCTTTGAGCATGACTGATCCAGTCCTACCTGTAACACTTATTTTTTCCATCTGCGTGAGCTAAGTCACATGATAGGTTGTGTGGCTAAATCAGCTGTTCTGGGATGGAGATATGACAGAAGCCTGTGAAGAGCCTGAGGGAGAGAAGGGAGAATCCAGGTATGAACCCATGGGGAGCTGCTGCTTGGTAGAGACTCAAAGGAACCAAGGAGTGCCTGGGCCCAGCTAGAGACTAGGGGGACAGAAGACTCTTTTGTGTTTGTTTTGTACTTGGATATCCAGCAAGAGGCACTTTTTCTTTAATGACTTAGCTAAATGGCCAGGTCTCTGTCGCAAGTTATCACTGCAACCAAAACAAGCTGAGAGGTTGGGAGGTTCAATCTAAGTGAGAAGAAACCGAGGCAGTGACTATCCCAAAGCTCGACCTGGTAGGAGGTGCAGCTACATAACCTAAGGGCTTCTCTACATGTGAAGTTAGTGTGCAGCAGGCTAGGGTGTGAATTTACAGTGCACAAGTTACTCTGCACTAACTCTCTATGTGAATACTCTTGTACTAAGCTAAACCGCCTGAGAGCACTTCTGGTACATAGCAAGAATGTTCACTTGGGGAGATAGTGTGGAGTAGCCCGTGTGCTGTCAGTTCACACTCTAGCTTGCTGCACCATTGCTGCACTCAGGCCTTCAAGTTGGAACACTGTATGATTTCAGTGTGGTCTACTGGCTTGGTTTATTGTATCTTTGCTTTTATCTGTAAAGTTTTCACTTGCCATTTCTGAAATTCATCATTCCCTCTCAAATTTTATTTTGTAATTAGAGGTGGGTCATCATGTTTTTTTATTTAGGTCAGTCGTAAGTGATGGATAGTATAGATTTTATTCACAAAACCTGTTGTTTGTACTCTGGTAGTCACACTGATCTAGAGAGTGTATGGTACAGTTTAAATGCTGAGAATTTTTTATACTTCAGTATGCATTAGGACCTGTTATCTGATTGCACAATACTTTAGAAGCCATGCTCCTTTTACAAACATCAATCTATAGAGTTTACTTTCTGTATAGTTACAAATATTTTATTGGTAGTTTGACATTTACAGCAAAATCTATCATTCCAGGAATTTACTTTAGGTAGGCCATGAAATTATTTTAGTTTTTCTATTTTGTGATTATAGTTCGCCTAGACTCCAACATGACTGTCAGGATGAAGTTTATATTTAATCTCCTGTTCTAAAAGTGCCAAAATGTTTGCCAGGGTTCCCTACCCACTGTGAACTCTAGGGTACAGATGTGGGGACCCGCATAAAAGACCCCCTACGCTTATTTCTACCAGCTTAGGCTAAAACTTCCCCAAGGCACAAATTCTTTGCCCTTGGAGGGTATGCTGCCACCACCAAGTGATTTAACAAAGAATCAGGGAAAGGACCACTTGGAGTTCCTATTCCCCCAAAATATCCCCCCAAGCCCTTATACCCCCTTTTCTGGGGAGGCTTGAGAATAATATCCTAACCAATTGGTTACAAAGTGATCACAGACCCAAACCCCTGGGTCTTAAGACAATAGAGAAATCAGTCAAGTTCTTAAAAGAAGGATTTTATTTAAAAAAAAAAAAAAGGTAAAAATCACCTCTGTAAAATCAGGATGGAAAATAACTTTACAGGATAACAAAAGATTCAAAAACACAGCAGAATTTTCTCTAGGCTTAGTTTCGAAGTTACAAAAAACAGGAATAAACCTCCCTCCAGCAAAGGAAAAATTCACAAGCAAAACAAAAGATAACATGCCTTGCCTGGCTTTTACTTACAATTTTTGTAATATGAGAGACTTTTAGGATGGTTTATAGGAGAAGGAGTGTTCTGACCTGATGCTTCTCTGCTTCTCAAGAGAACACACAAAACAAAGTCCCCCTTCTCCCCCAAGATTTTAAAGTATCTTCTTTCCCCATTGGTCCTTTTGGTCAGGTGCTAACCAGGTTATTTGAGCTTCTTACCCCCTTACAGGTAAGGAGGAATTCTAGGCTACCCTTAGCTGTATGGTTATGACAGTGTTGCTCGGGATTCCTCACAGAAATATGGGTAGATAATTTCAGAAAGATGAAAATAGAATCTTAGATGCTAGAGATTACAGAGAACACACTGGAGCATTATAAATTTGGATATTTCCACCATGAATGGTTATGACAATGTTGCTCGGGATTCATCACAGAAATATGGGTAGATAATTTCAGAAAGATGAAAATAGAATCTTAGATGCTAGAGATTACAGAGAACACACTGGAGCATTATAAATTTGGATATTTCCACCATGAATTCAGCCTAACCCCTTTGGTACATACTACTTTGGGACCTGGTGGTATTTTTTCCTCATATATGAAGAAGACAACTATGTCAACTGGCGTTCCTTACTTTTGTGTACACTGTAACCTCTCTGTTTAGAGAGATGTCCATTTTTAGATAAAAAATAATAATAAAATTCTTCAGCATCCAGGGTGGCAAGTTCAACCGCATTTTAAAGCCTTGAACAACCTACTTCCATATATTAAGTTCCGTAAAACAATGTTTAAGACTTGCTTTGTGGCCAGTGCCAGATTGCACTGAAGGATCTTAACAGTGCAACAGCGGGATTGAGAATGTTTCCATAGGAATATAATAGCTGCCTGATGTATCACCTGCAGAGCTCTGTTTTCAAACAGTTCATTGAGAGACCAAAAAAAGTGAGTGTTTTTGAGTGCAGAGAGACCAGAGTTATTCCCAATGAGGGAAAATTTCATAAACAAATGAGCCATGTGCAAGGAAGTAGGTGTACAAAGTGCATACTGGTAAACACAGGCAGTAAGCCTAGCTTTGTAAGAGTGTGCCTGGAACTGCTCTTCTTACTTATCTTTGTGGAGTGTGCATTGAACTTTGGTATCAAGATGGAAATGCCATCAAATCAGCTTTTCTTCATTCACCGTGTTTCCAGGTTCCATGGTTTAAAAAACCAAAACAGCCAATACATGCATGTAATCGTGTTGTTAACTTATACACTAATTGAATAAGGAAAGTGATGCAGATAAGTATTTTTTTCAGACTAATTGATTTTTCAGATTATTAATAATAATTGATGAATGGAAGTGTTAATTCTTCTCAGCATTATGAATTTAAAAATGCTTATGAATCATTCATAGCATAAAACAATGTTATGGCTCACACAATAAAGATTTGTGCCAATGGGCACAAGAAAGGGTTAATAATTTAGGGTTCAGTAAATAAGTCTGTGACCACTGTGGGGGAAGCCTGCCTCTGTAGGCAAGCAGAAATCTGTAAAAACTCCCTGAAGCCTGTTGCCAGATCTGTTTATCTTTCCAAGGCAGAATAATTCTGCAAAGGAAGATTGCAAAATCTTGCAGTAGAAAAAGGTAGGCTGAAATGGTCAGGGTCTCCTGTGTCCAGGGCATCGTGCCAAACATAGGCTGAAGTGTCTGGTTCCTTTGTGGTTTGTGCTACATCCTCTTTGCAACAGATCAGGTTTGTGCGGATCATCAATCATAACTGCTGCCACAATGCAAATACCCTGGTACTTTGTCCCAATGTGTTGAAAGCGGTTGGCATACTTATTTAGGGAAGTACAGCTGTACAATCACAGTCTTGTTTTCCATAATATCAGGAAGCTCACAATGGTTACTGTTGTTGCTTTCCTCCTTGAAAAATGGGAAAAAATTTACTTGCAGTAAATTCAGTAGATGCCGGCCAGCAACTTAAAATCATGTTTTTGACGGCTTTGGTAACATTGAGCAGCTAGCAGTTCAGAATGGCCTTTCCTACCATTTTAATACATTTTCTTCAGTTCCAAATGGGGATTTATTCTGTCCTTCAAATTTCACATTCAGTTCACTTTTGCTTTTAGTTTTTGCTTGCTCTGGTGTTCTTGGAAGATTATCTGACACCAGCCCAGATAAGGCCCTGGGGATCTCCAGTGTTTTTTACTTCATTTAAAAGAGACTTTAATACTGGAGAACACTTTGTATTAGATCAGGCATAAATATAAATCAATTTGCCTATATTGCATATGTATTTTAATAAAAGATT